AGTATAAGTTCTGCGTAATTATTTACAAGCACATTTATATTTACGGACAATGTATCACATGACTTATATGGGTATATTTGCTACGGTATTTATTACATAGATATTTATATATATATATATATATGTATATAGCTTACTAGTTTCATTTTTCATTTTTCTTGAGAATATACACCCCTGTATGTAATTGTACACAATATATTAAAAACAACATAAACTTACCTAATTTTAGCATCTCTGCATGCCTATTCTCTATAGCAACTAGGTCATCTTTCGCTTTAGCTGTCTCCTAAAGTAAAGTTTAAACTGTATACTGTATATGTAAAATTAAATATTTCCTATTAAGAATTTCTACCCATTGCTTTGATATTTCATGAAGTCATTCCACTTTCTGAAATTTAAATTTAATGACAAAATTTAACCCCCTCCCCCCTCTTCTATACAATTTAACCCCCCTCCCCCCTCCTCTATACAATTTCAGAACCATGTAACTATTTTTTTGTGGACATAATTTACTTTTTTTAATACTTCAGGGGACATTAGTTCCAAAACTAACACTTGGCCTTTTTCTAACACTGAGTGTTAGAAGTTAGAAATGTGCATCCAAATCCAGAGTAAAAGTCGATAATGAAAACTATAACCAACATTTTATATTAAGCATGACGAGGACAACAATTCTCAATTTTAAACTATTTTCTGGAATCAAAATTATAAAAGGAGTTCTTTTTATATTAAAACCCTTAATCGTTTTCAAGACAATGTCAGGTTTTCCATTTTCGAATATATCCTAAATTTGAATCATTGTCGCGTTTTCGAGACAAAACCCACTTTCTCGTTTTTGAGTATAATCCTCAATTCAGAACAAAACTAACTTTCAAAACTTATAAAATAAATAACTGAAAGTAAAAATTATATCTTATGAAGACTGAAGTAACTGCTAAATTACTTTTAAAATCATAATTTTCCTATTAAATTTGATAAATAAGAGAATATAGTTGATTTAATTTCTCGAATTCTAAATAAACAATTTCCCGGATTTCAAGTTAAATCTATATCGAAAGAACAAAATACTATTAAAATATTCATTTCTCGATGCTATAAAAATATAAAAGAACAGTATTTTTTTGTTTCTATTTTGTTTATATTTTACCTTATCAAAAAATCTTGTTTTGGTACGTAAGTGCGTAAATGCTTGAAAATTGACATTGTGCATTGAAATTCGAGTAATTGTCTCAAACCCGTAAATGTTCCAAAAACGCGACATGAGCTGGGAACTTTTGAATGGAAGATATCGGGATTAATGCTTGATCCACTCTTTCTAAATCTCAAGATTAAATAATGCTTGTTCTCCTTATATTATTAATCTCAAGATTAATTAACCAATCGGGATTAAGGATATCACAATCTTAAGTTTTCAGCTCTGAGCTGAAATGCGGTAATTGATTCAAAATAGGGTTATGTTCGAAAATGAAAACCAATATTATCAAAAACTAATTCTCATACCTTATTATTAGATTAAAGTTGACATGCCATTTTAAATAAATGTATGGTGTATTTTTGTTCAACTCGGCTTGGATTTTAAGATATATACGCTTAAAAAAGATAGCTTTGCAGATTTTGCCCATTTCTAACACTCAAGAGTAAAAAATGGGCCAAGTGTTAGTTTTGGAACTAGTTTTCCCAGTATTTATTTAGGTCCTAAAATCATAGCAAACAATTTTCTACTAATGGGACAATTTGGCACTAGTTGATAAAAATGTTCAGATCCTAGCTTTCAGCACGTGTCTAAGAAGTCTCTATTATAAAAAAGCAAAAAAAGCTATTTTTTTTTCTTACTTATAGATTAATGCAGCGCAACAGTTTTTGTATAATTAGTGCAAGCAAAAATATTTTTTTTTTCAAAATATGTCGATATGGGTATCAAATTTGTCTTGAAACAACGAATTCAAAATTGTTAGAATCATAAAAATCAGTTAAAAATTGAATGAGTTCAAGGCAAAAAAAAGACTTTGTAGCGGAAATTTGCCGGAATCTTCAAAAAATAATAGCTTTTTTGCCCTTGATCAACCAATTTTCACAATTTCAAAAACCAGCAACTGGGCAATATTCAGTGGTTTGAGGTTAAACTTTAGACACCCACATCGACATGTTTTGAAAAAATTGAAATATCTACCTCCATTTGTGATTGTTTATTTTTAAAGAAAAAAAATTTATATTGTCCCAGCAGGGTTATTTCTACCTGGAGTATACTAGAGAAGGCTGCCAAGTCCCCTGAATCTATTTTCTCTTCGATCTCTTCATTGGTCAGATTGGTTCCAGTTATTTTTATATTCTTTACTAGATTCTCTTTAGTTTTATCCCTGAATAAATAAATACACTTTATATTCTTTACTAGATTCTCTTTAGTTTAATCCCTGAATAGACAGATTATCTTTATATCTATTTAAAAAAGCTCTTCGCTCATATATATATTTATTTGTTTGTATATATAAATGTTAGCTAAAGCTGGCCAAACGTCTGGACATAATGGGCTGACATTTTTTGAGGTAGCCCTCGAGTGGAGGCAACATAGGCTAAAGAAAATCGAAATTTCTTCGTCAAAATTTGATCTTTTTAAATTCCATGGGAAACGCCGGGCTCTTCTTCTAGTATTCTATATATTGCAAATTATCCACAATCTATTCAGCTACCTAGATCTTGATCCCGGAATTAACAAACCTTACTGAAATTAAAACGTAGAAATATATCACTGGAATGTTAAAGTCGATATAACTTCTGTGGGACAAGAACAATGTTATAGAAGACTTGTATTGAGTCAGGAAACTGTGATAGGACACTGACCCAGAAACACCGATCCAGGAAAAGCCGCAAAATAAAATACATAAAAAACAGGAAACCAGGAAACTTCGACTGCGCTAAAAAAACAAAAGGGGAAAACTGTATCAATATTTTACCTGTACCACACTTGAATATTGTTGTACTCCGTCCAGATTTCAAGAAATCGTTTTGAGTGTGTGGAAATCTGGATTTTGCGAATATTAAGTTCGGACCAATCTTTAGAGCTTAATCCACTGCTCTTAGATTCAAGTTTATTGATTTTTTGTTGTTCTTCCTTCACTGTTTTCTGCACTTTACGTCCTAGTGATTTATTAATGTCAATAAGATCGTTTAATTTAGCTTGAAGTTTCTCTCTCTCAGATCTAGAAGGAGTACTGAAAACCATTTTTTGTAGAAGTTTCATTTCTCCAACATTCTTTTCTACTATACCCACGTTGGTGGCTGAACACAACAAAAATAGAATCATGTTTTAAGAAAGCATTTTTAATTAATATGTGACAAGAGTCCGTACTATTAATCGATTTTAAGACCGCCCCAACCCCCGTGGAGCGCGCGCGCCGTAGCCGGCCAGTGAGCCACATGTCAAAATTTGACCGTAAAGGCTCCGGACAAAATATAATCGAAAAAATCGCGAGAAAAAAAGAAACTTCTGTCCCAAAACCTTTCTAGCACTGCGAACTAAACTAGTAGTGTTAGAAACATATAATATTTACCCTAGCCTGTCCTAGCCGTGGCGCTCGGTCCCTAGCCTCTCCTAGCCGCAGCATTCGGTCCCCCTAACCTGTCCTAGCCGCAGCGCTCGGCCCACAATTTGTCTTAACCTAACCTAACCATTAAATAATAAATAATAAAAAAACGAATACGGAAGGGCGCAAATTCAATATTATTAAATTATGGTCTATTATCTATTGAAAGTGTAAGCAAGTTTAAGGCATTGATCATAATATTTATCAAATTTTTCTCATTATTGTTGCCTAAAGTTTCTGCTATCTCAAGAAAATCTTCAAAAGCCGAAGGTTTGTTATTGAGTGGTTTCATTTCCGTTTCCTCTTCTCCCTTTTCAATATCTTTACAATATTTAGATGCTTTCTGCATCTCCACTAACCGGTCCCGTACAGGCATTTTGAACAAGTGTTTCTGAAATATAAACATTGTGGATCGGATGATGACTCATAATTCGAGTTTGGACCCACTCATTCACAACCAATCAATTTCTAGAAAGCTGCATTACGCAAGATGATATAATCGAAATTTTCATTAAAAATTTCACCTTCAAGGAACTTTCGCCGATTAAACTAGTTCATCTTAACTAAAACCCCGCCCCTCTCATCACTTTACGGCTCGGCTTGGTTAAAACCAAAATAAATAAGCGATATTGGTCGAAAATCCCGCAAAATATTTTTAAAATTCGTCTTCGTTCGATTTATTAATAAATAATCCTAAGTAAGACGACATTTAATTCTGTCAATGTTTAATTTTGAATGTTATAATGACTGATTCTTCCGATGGTGTATTTTTGGACCTACGCCCATCCCCTCTACTGGCCATCCGACCTACAACCACGTGGTTTTAACAGCTGTGGTAGGTCCGATGCACTGTAGGTCGGATGGGCACGTTAAAAACAGCATATTGGTGCATCCGACCTTATACTTTAAGCTGTCGCTTGGACACGCGTTATATAGGTCTTCGATGGGCCTTTTTTGTAGGTCGGATGGGCATTTTTCGTAGGTCGGATGGGCATTTTTCGTAGGTCGGATGGGCATTTTTCGTAGGTCTGATGGGCACTTTTCGTAGGTCGGATGGGCATTTTTTGTAGGTTGGCCCATGAGACATGTGGCCGTAGCGCTCGGCCCCCTAGCCTGTCCTAGCCGCAGCGCTCGGCCCAGAAATGAGCTTAACCTAACCTAACCCGAAATAAACACTAATTTTATTAAAAATTGTGAATTGAAGGTCTTTCATAGCCGCAGCGCTCGGCCCCAGCTAGCCCAGTCCTAGCCGCAGCGCTCGGCCCAGAAATGAGCTTAACCTAACCTAACCTTAAATATACACTAATTTCATGAAAAATTGTTAAAATCAAAGGTCTGCCCGTCCAACCTACGAAATATGCCCATCCGACCTACGAAAAATGCCCATCCGACCTACAAAAAGTGCCCATCTGACCTACGAAAAATGCCCATCCGACCAATACAAAAATTGCCCATCTGACCTACGAAAAATGCCCATCCGACCTACGAAAATGCCCATCCGACCTACGAAAAATGCCCATCCGACCTACGAAAATGCCCATCCGACCTACGAAAAATGCCCATCCGACCTACGAAAAATGGCCATCCGACCTATACGAAAAATGCCAATCCGACCAACGAAAAATGCCCATCCGACCTACAAAAAGTGCCCATCCGACCTACGAAAAATGCCCATCCGACCTACGAAAATGCCTATATGACCCACAAAAAGTGCCCATCCGACCTACGAAAAATGCCCATCCGCCCTACAAAAAGTGCCCATCTGATCTACAAAATTGAGTGGCTGCCGACGCTACAATTAATTATTTCATACCCTACTGCGCGCTATAGGCATAAGACAAAAGCTGCTGATAGGTCGGATGGGCAAGAAGATACGCCCATCCGACCTACAGCTGTCGTAGGTCAGATGTTGCAGTAGGTCGGATGGGCAGTATAGCGGATGGGCAGTAGAGCGGATCAACATTACCGATTCTTCCAGCATCTAGGGTCTCTAGGGAACCTGGGTTTATATATTAACAGTTTACATAGTTCAAATGTTTTAAATGCCGTACACGTAAATTTTATTTCAAATTAAAATATATATAAGAAAAAGAAAAAGATGCTTTATCGTTTGCACTAATTGTCCAATTGAACTGACGTTCAGGGTGTCCGTCCCACGAAACTTTCCAGTTGGTGAATAGTTTAAAATGTCTTCTTCCCATAATATGTCAAATTGTTTGCTACCAAATAGAATTAATAATAAATATTGTATTGCATCCATAATATATGTTATAAAATTGATTTCTAAGAAAAATATATTCGAGTAGATTGTTTTTTTTAAACTAGAAAAAGTCTTTAATATGTAAATCAGTATATGGAAGAAGACACTCAAATCAACTCACCAACTGTCATGTTTCGTGGGACACCCTGTACGTTTGCAACTAAAGTCAGCTTATCAGAGACAGTGCAAATAAACACAAATCGAGCTTTATTAGACTAAAATTTTATTTTGCCCGCCAGAAATATTTTATTTTCACACTGCAGGAATTATGATTATTTGTGGTTTTAAGTAATTTTTACGAAAAATGGTATGATGTTCAATTAACGCAATATTTTTTTGTGTTTGTGAATGACAATTGCAACAAATCGAGAAGTACTATTATTCGTATAAAAATACTTATAATCCTATGGTCAAGTAAAAAAATTCACTTTTATGGTTAGGTTTCTACATTAGATATGGTGATCATTGAAATAATTTGCAAAACCGAACATTAGTTTTTTACTGTTGAACAATTGAGAAGTTATTCTGTCTGTCAGGGGGTTGCCAAGGTCCTGCCGCCCCTGATAATTTAAAGTTCTTTCATTAAATTTCATTTATTTATCATTGTCCACAGTGTACTATTATAACACAGTAGACGACAGCAACAACAAAATTACAATTGATATTTTATTAAACTTCCAATACATATTTAAAATAATTATTGAAAAACAACAGTAAATACGGTTGAGGCTGATTGAATCCAGAGCTGTGCTGAGGCTCACATACACACAGATTACACAAATAGTTTGTATGTTGATAATTATTGAAAGGTTGAAACGTAAACCGTACTAAGTTCTCCGGGTAGAACTACGACTTGTCCTATCTGTGTAATCTATGCTCGCACATCAATTATATTCTTGAAAGACAAGTCCTAAATGTCGAGATCACACTAATCCATCTTAATATGTATGATGAACACAGCCAACTAGAGGAGAGAATTATATCAACGATGATAAATGTTGTAAGGAGGACCGTATCCATACATCTGGGAGCTGGCTCCCCGCTGAGGATCATAGTGGCCAGGATACATCTGGTTAACCTAGAAAAATCACAAGTATTAAAAAACTCTGATAAACAGCTGAAAATGATTATCCTTTTTTATTTAACGCCACAAATAATTATTAATTGTATTCTTACGTTACAATTAAAAATATAAAAGATGACTTACCAGCGCAGGATTGAGCATAGCAGCATTGTATGCATTGTACTGCATGGCGTTGTACTGCATGAGACTTGGATTAATTGTAACATTGGGTGAACGTGACTGTACTGTCCCCCGCTGAGAGGACACTCCGCTACCATGAGTAGGATACCCGTATCCAGGTAGTGCTAAACCATGATGAGTGGGTGGAACAGCGGGTACACTTCCAGAAGATGCTGTTCGGGAGGATTTTGTAGTTTTGGCTTGTCTTGGTGGAGATTTAGGAGGAGTGGTGTGTTGTGGAACAGGAGGAAGGAAATCTAGACGCTGTGTTAACTGCTGAAGAGAGACTAGACTTGAAGGATGCCCGCTGGGATGTTGCTGATTTGGATAAAATCCCGCCTAAATATTAGAAGTAAATAAGTAACAAAATTTAAAAATCAAACTTAAATTTCGAATAATTATTGAAATACATTTTTCAAAACTTTATCTTAAAAATCATCAGCCAAGATATTAACTTTTCCATAATAAGGAGTATAACAAAAAAAATAAGATAAAGAGAGAAACGCACATCTTATGACAAGTTATTTTCTTCATAGATTAAAATCTAAAATATTAAGTAACTTCAGATTTGTCAATACTAGGAAAATATATTAAATGTTTGTTAAAACAGAATATATACCTGAGCTGAAGCCACCTGTTGAACATGTGGATCCATGTGATGAGCAGATCTAGAAGCATGATGTGAAGGTAAAGAAGGTGGAGTGTGTCCTACACCTGTAGTTGCTGGGAACATGGTTCCAGAAAACATTGTAAATGCTGCAGGATCATGTCGATACATTTGGTTGGCAGAATGCTGCTTCATCGCTGCTCCATACTGCTGGATATATTGGGCTGTGAATGCTTGATGAGCAGCTTGTTGTTGAGCGGATAAATGTGCTGCTGCTTGTCTGTTGTGCTGACGGGGAGATTTAGACGATTGAGAAGATCTACTGGTTGGATATGTAGGTTGAGGTGTAGGGGACTGATGGGGGATACTAGTATATGTGTTCTGAGGTATTATCTGAGGATGAGGCGAGGATTGTTGGTTGTGAGGTGAGGGTTGAGGATGAGGAGACTGTATGGGAAGTGGATGAGGGGATTGAGCCGTGATTCCTTGTTGATGATGTGGACTTAGCTTTGTCATACTACTATGCATTGCTGAGAGCTGTTGCTGGGGTGAGTTGGCTGGTAACCTATGATGCCCAGACATGCTGTCATAAACCTGAGGTATCTCTACACTACCAATACTGTTCGGACTTTCCATCACAGTTGAGTTATGAACAGATTCTGAGGGTTCAGCATGCGAGTATTCTGCAGATGTATCTGCAGCAGAGTGTTGATACTCCGGGTTAGTATCAGTAGCAGGATGGTATTCTGTTGATGTATCTCCAGTTCCTCCATGGAACTCGCCACCATCTCCAGCATGCCCTGGAAACCCATGCATAGAATGTACAGAGTTTGTACTCGAGTCTGGAGTATAAACTCCCATTGTTTGTCCTTGCTCTGTCTTATCATTAGTTCCATAGAATTGATTTCCCGCTTCCCCTGTATCTCCAGTTGGATAGTAACCCCCGCTCATATCTCCCATATACTGTTGCTGAGTAGCTTCATGCTGCTGCTGTTGTTGTTGCTGTTGCTCAAGGTGGTTGTGCTCCATGTGCTGTTGGGTAGCATCAATATGGTGCTCTAGCTGCTGCTGCTCCATTGTTTGATGTTCAATATGTTGATGCTCCATTTGAACAGGAGGTTGAAGTTGCTGTTGCTCCAATTTTCTCTGCTGCTCCTGAAGAACAGCACACTGCTCAATTGGAACCTGTGGCAATTGTTGTTGTGCTTGCTGTTGATTACATTGCTGTGGTTCCTGTTGGCTAGAAGACTGTTGCTGAAGTTGCTGTTGTTGTAATTTCTCCTGCTCCATACAGGAAGTGGGTTCAACTAATGGTTCAGGTACATTAAGTTCTTCTGGAGCTTTGGCAACCTCAACTTCAACAGTTGTTTCAATGGGAGCAACCTCGGCAGTTTGAGGTTTAGGTTCAGGTCTGTCAACAGTTTCCTCCTCCTCAGCTTTCAGTTCAGGTTTTAGGGGAGGATTTTTATTGAGCTGTTCATCACTAAACTTAACAACATCATCTCCAGAATTATAACCAAGATTCTCCCACATAGAATCATGCTTCTCCTCAATATTGGGCCCAATATTCCTCATCTTTGCAGAATCCTTGGAACCTTCCCTGTTGGATGAGACCTCCTGAGAGGAGAGACGGGCTTGTTCCTCAAGCTGCTCCTGATGCTTTTTAATAAAATTCTTCTTAGGATCAGGACTCTCATTCTCAGGAAGCCAGCGTTTTAACTTTTTAGGAGTTTTAACATCTGTCTCAGCGTCACTAAGCCTAGGTTTCGAGTCGTCAGAACAAGGCGTTTCGACTGGTTTAGATGGAGGAGAGCCATCTGAAAGCTTGGAATGTTCAGGAGTAGTTGAAGGCAAGGCTATGGAAAGTTTCTCCTGTCGACTTTGTTCTGCTAAGCGATTTTCTTGAATCTTCTTCCGCTTTTCCATCATCATGAGCTCATTCTCTTTTAACTTTTCTTTTTCCTTTTCTAATTTCTCTTTCATTTCCTTTTCTTGACGCTTCCTTTCTTCTCTTTCTAGTTTTTTCCGTTCTAACCTTTCCTTTCTTTTGATGTCCTCCAGTTCTTTGAGCTTTTCAGCCTCTATCCTTTCAGTTTCTATCCTCAGCTTTTCTTTCTCTAACCTATCGTTAGTCTTCTCTTTTTCTTCGATTCTTTCCTTTTCTTTATTCAACTCTCGTTCCCGATCTTTTCTATTGCCAGTCTTAGTATCCAAATGAGAATCAAATAAGCCTTTTTTATGTTTTTGTTTCTCTAACCGCTCCCGCTCGATTTCTTTTCTTTTTTCTGCCTTGAGAGCGTTCTTAGGATGTAGTGAAGATGGTGTTAATAATACATTATTTGATTCTGTCTTGCCGGTTCCTCTTCCACATAACAAGTTTTTTGACTTCTGTTCAGGGCTTTTCTTATCCATAATTTGCATTAGTTTGTCTAATTTGTCATTTTGTTTTACTGGTGAGATGATCTTTTCGGGCATGCTTTCTTCTGTCGTATTGTCAAGTTGTATGAAAGACTCGAAAGCTGTTAAATATCCTTGATTAATGCCAAAATTCTTTTCAATAGCATGTCTCTGACCTTTATCAATTACGGATTTTTCCCCAGTTTTGGATTCTTTCTTCAAGGACTCAGATTTCCTATGCTCTGTCCTGTCTTTTTTCATATAGTCCTTCAGCGACTTCTGTTTGATTTTTTCCGATTTCTTATCTTTTTTCTCAGATGGATAAATGGGTTTCTCCTTAGATTTTGGAATAGTGACCTGGACTTGAGGTTCGAGCTCAGGCATGTGGTCGGAATTATCTTCACTTATCACAGGGTTTGAAACTGATATCTTTTTAACCTCAGCTCGCAATCTTTCTTCTTTTTTCTTACTTGACTGAACAGATTTCTCAGGAGGTTTGTTCTCGTCCTGGCTCTCATCTGACTCCAACAAGATGTTCCGTTTAAACTTGGATTTATCCTTTAGATCTCGATCTCTAATTGACGTGTGCTTGGTAGATTCTTTCTTTCTTTGATGTTTCAAAATATTTCTCTCATTCTCGGATTCTGAATCAGATTTTGATGTTTCATCACAATCACTGCGCTTCTGTTGTTTTGATATAGTTTTAGAAATTGCTGAAGAAGCATTCTTTGCAGCTTTTCGGCCACCTCGATGAAAAGGTTCCGAGTCATCCATGGACTTGTCACTGTCTTCACTTGATTCTATTTTACGAGACTTTCTCCTTGCTTTCCTTTGATCAGACATTTTTGGTGATTTCAAGAAAGAACTTCTTGAACGATTTTGGGAAACTTTTGCCGACGACTTAAGATATTTTGCATCGCCGATTGTCGGACTGTCCACGTCTGAGTCATCAGACTGTTCGCCATCAGCAGATCCACCATCGCTTTCGCGCTTGACTTCCCTGTGACAGCTGGACTTATTTGCCCGACTTAATTTTTTGCGTCTATGTTTAGATGTTACCGACGCCCCGCCAACCAACCCTTTAGAGTTTCCCAAAGCCGATATTTCGTTCTTGTGTTCCTCCCGATCACTGTCTACGTCTGAGTCTGCTTCACTTCCTTCAGATTTCATAGGACTGTCGAAAAGAATGCCCGGAGGAGGAGTAGGACTCCACATCAATGCATCCGGATCCAACTGTATCCGGGTTGTGTTTGCAGCTACAGCTGCAGCATGCTGGTCAACCCGGTTCCAGTCAACAGCCAAGATAAACTTATTATCAACAGATTTCCGAATAAAACCTAAAAAAGAACAGAATAATTTGTTGACAATTAGTAAGATTAAAAAAGTAGTTGATCTTAGTATGATTAATATTATTAATATTTTACCTAGAAGCATGAATGCTAATGCTATATCTCTCGGATGAAGTGCAGTATCTGCAACCAACTGGTTTAGGGTCACGTGCACTCTGCCACGCATTCCTAGAAAAGAAAAGGTAATCATTCTTAGAAGTGAAATTGTTCTAACTAAAGCTCATTTGAAAAAAATATATCCGAACCGAGTAATTTAATTTTCATACTTCTACTATGCAGGGAAAAGGGACGAAATTCAATGAATTGGAAGTGAGGTATCTGAACTACGTAACTACCACCAGTTCATGAAAATTCTAACCGGTGATTCAGGATTACAATCGGGCGGCGGCGGAAGTTCAGCGACCTTGGATGGGTGCTCCAATAAAAGCAATTTCATAATAAAAATATAAAACTCCTTTTTTATTAAAAAAAGTTAATTTATATCCAATCATTAGAACATCAGATTTTCTATCAATAAAAGCAAGTTTGACTTACCTTTCAGGTGTTCTAATATAACAGATTTCCAGTATGAATGATAAGAAACGCGACCTAAATTGAACATCTTATGAACCTGTAGATGGTTAATTATAAGCAAGATAAAAAATGGGATACTCCATGTTCCTCAAAAATCATTAATTTCACGAGTATGATTTTATGCATCTTGGTAAAATACTGATTTAAGAAAATATTCTACTTCAGGCGAGGGGATGGTACTTTATGCATGCAAGATGTACAAATTAATAATCATAAATTTGTTTACCTAAATCTGACAACGGTTTCTCCGGTGTCCCCGGTTGTTTCTCCCGTTTAGAGAGGAGGTAAGAGAAATCAATGAGCATCCTTCCATAACCCTTCCTCTGACAGTGCGGCATTGTCATGATACAGGACACATTGTATTTCTGCAAGCAGTGCTTCTCCTTACTGAAGTACCCAACCAGATGACAACCAGCGGAGTCGTTCTAAATTAAAAAATGTAAATTCACAAAATTGTTAATTTTACTATAATTGTTATCGTGTACTGATCTAATAGAGCGAAATAATTCTAAAACAGGTGAAAAAATTATTCAATGTTGTTTGTAAATAACTAAGATTTTTGTTGAGAAAAAGGCATAAAGTTAAGACCATAAACATGTTTCCGTTATCAAATAAAGTTATCTAATAATACCTGAGTGAGCACATAGAAGAGAAATGGTTCCACATCGTAGTACAAGGTTTTATGATCCAGGAAGAGTTTAACCAATAAGCAGAGGTTCTGACAGTAGATCTTATTCGTGTTCCCATCCACTTCAAAAACTGATAATTCATCCTTCCTGAATTAATTTTAGTTTCATTAGTTTCATTAGTTTTTTGGGGAAAAAAAAACAGTAACTTTTAAGAAGAAACATTTAATTAAAGGAATATTTTTATTGAAGTGAGTGGGTAAGGAGAGATGATAAAAAAAACTCTGAAATTACCAGTTTAAACATATACCAATACAGAAATTGCAAAAATAAAATAAAGATATCTTGAGCGAATGTTATATTTTACATTTTCAAAGATTATTTTAACTGACCTGTATATCTCTGTACCCGGTGGTCTTCTCCAGGGACATTTAGTTAAATGTCTGTCAAGAATAGGTCGAGATTTCATGTACTTTAAGCAGAACTCACATAAGAAGAGTTTAGGTAACCGAGCATACTCCTTTAAACATACAAACGTTTAAACAATGAATCAAGATACGAGAAAAACATTTTCTTCATTTTTCTCCCGATTTCCCCTGATATTGTTAACAAGTTCATAGAAGAACAATTTAAATATAATATTGTGAAAAAATCCAATTTATAAACCCTTGATTTATTTCTTTAAATGGATACTATTAAAACAAAAGCTTCGTTGAAAAATAAACAGATTAAGATTTTAGATCATCATTAGAAAATAAACTATAAATAATAATGTAATTTTTTTTAATAGATTACTAAAAAAATAAAAAAATTTACTAAATAGTTTGTAGGTTTAGGAATAAATCTTATGAAAAATAAATTAGAAGTTTTTGAAAAGGAATCGAGTCTTTACTACAAACACTGATTTTCTAATCCCTATATCTTTGCAACCCAATGTCATAGACCTTAAATATTTCAAACTATGAATTCTGTTGGATCAAAAAAAATCAAGTTTGAAAAATATCAAAAGTTTACACCATCAGATTACAAAGATATAGGGATAAGAAACTTTATGTTTGTGGCAAGAGTTAAATTTTTTAATAATATATTACTAGCCGTTTAATATTTGAAAAACTAGGTAGACAAAGTACCTGAGGATATGGTGAACTGTACCAGGTCGATATATCGTATTTCCCAAACTGTATCATCTGGGGAGAACGCATCGAAGTTCCTGGACTAGAACTAGGGACTACAGGAGCACGGTTATGAGGTGTTCCGGCCTTAGGAGTCCCATGGACGGCCTTAGGGGTACTGGGAACCTTAGGAGTTGGAGTAGCAGGTTCTTCATGAGCCAATAACCCCTTATTCTCCTCAGCAAGAAAAGCCTAAAATTTTAGGAATAAAATTTGGTCTAAATCTAAGAAATGTAATAATACTAATGAAAATGATACATGTTAACTATTTTCCCATTTTACACTTTACTCCGATCATGTGAACAATTATTTCTGTGTAAGTGAACTGTGAAACACTCCCTTTTCTTAAACAAATAATTGAAAGATGGTTGGGCCCATAAATATGATATAGATAAAAATAGAGTTAATTATATCTAGCAAGACAAAATGTTGACCTTGGCCTGATCCTGCGCTGTAGCAAATATCTGTACATCCTTCTCCGTCACACCGGCAGGTAGTGCAGCATTCAAGCGCTTCTTCTCACGTTCTAGATAATTAAAGGTTAAACTGTGCAGAGTAAATAAATAGGAATATATCAAACACCATTAGTGTCATATCGATTGCAATGTAATTGTAAGAGATTCACCAAAAAAGGATTTTGTTTAAAAAAACCATGTCATTTTAATTTTTCAATGTCCTAAAATCCTTTTTTAGTCAACTAACAAAATAAGTAAAAATAAAATGAAAATGAATAATTCCAAGAAATTTATTCGAATACATGGTTCATTATTTTATATACTTGCAGTCAAATGAAAAAAAAATTATATTGCATTTCTGGTTTAGCATTTAGATCATAATAGGTTCTTAACAAAATATAAAAACGATAAGAAGAAAAAGTAGGAAATAAGATGAAGCAAGTAATTAGTAAAAGAAGCATAAATATAAGAAAGCAAGGTATTAGCAACAACAACTATTTAAGATAGTTCCCAAAGACATATTCCTAAGTGATTTTCTTGAAAATTGAAATTGCGAAATAGCAAACTCCAAGTGGCAACTTCCCAAATTACAAATTGGCACTGTAAGAAATTGTCTAGTAGAAGAATGTTTTCTAACGCTTGGGCTAGAGAATGTTTCCAAGCCAAGATATCATTAATAGTAGAAATATTTCCAAATGTACGTCAAAAATCTTTCATTTGGTTGGAAAACGGTAAGATGGGAAAATATACATTTAGAATAAATGTTGAAAAAGTGCCAAATACCATTTAAACCCCCCCCCCCCTGGGTTACTAACTGTGTTACTGTTAAGATTATTTTAAAATCCAGCTTTGATCTTAAATATTCAAACTTAAAATTGACCCCGCTTTACATACTTGTCTTCAGAGTTTAGTGTGCATAAATATTTAAATAATTGTACACAGAACACAGGACAGAAGAAAGTTTTATAACAGTATTAAACTAATTAAAATACATTAGAAAACCTATTTCAACCAATATACAACTTTAGATGTAAGGGGAGGGGGATAATCTTTACACTGACTTCAATATCCGCCTACCTCCACTTAAAAAGTAAATAATATCACATTTCTCTAAAATTTACAATGTTAAATTGGCATGCTGTTAAAACGGATGTTTAAGTTATGTACAATAACGTGCACTGTAATATGTTCAGGTGTGCAAAGTAGTGAAACATCTCTGATAAAGAGCAGAACTAAGCGTGATAGGAGGAGAAAGCTCATTAAATTTATGGGTCTTGAACGCCTGTCACAGAGCGTAGACCAAATTTAATACACCATCTCATTCCTGAAAACAATATCTAATCTACCGTGCATAACGAAAGTTTTCTTACTGTTTCCTTTTTCTTTTCCTCCTCCTTTCTTTTCTACTCCAGTCTTCTCCAACTCTTTGAGCTCAGTATCACTCATCCTGTGAGGACTAGATATCCTTTCAGGACTTTTCCCAGCCTTGGTTGGATCTATAGGACCTGAATTCTCTCCCCGACCTTTCTCATTGTAGTTTGTCATCGGTACACTTCGCAGTCGAGAGTCACAGTCGCTGTACAGGTGACTCAGTCCGTCATACAGACTTTTCACCTGCTGTTGTCCAGCAGACGCGTGACGTTTACGCTCATGGTCACCTTCCTTTCTCTCCTCATCCTTGTGTTCGTTCTCTTCAACACTGAGTCGAACTTTCTTCGGTTCTTCAGATCGAGCAGAATCTTTATCACAGGTTTTGGATTCAGGTTTAAGAAGGGAGTTTAGTGCAGTTCTTGAAGTCCGTTTTAGTCCTGGAGTGAAGAAGTTTGATAAAGCGTCAACTAAACCTTTAGGTTTATTCTCTAAGCTTTGAGGATTATACCTAATATCGTCGGGAATATGCTGAAGTGCAGATTTCATTTCTCCGCCCATATTCTCGTCTGGGGGATTTAAATCCTCAGAATCAGATTCACATTGGCTTTCTTTGGACTTAAATTCAGATTTTGATTTCTTCTTCCTTGGTTGATCGTCGGAATCTTCCTCAGGTTTATCAATCCGCTTGTTCTTCTCAGGAGATTGGATAATGAGCTTATTCTCAGGTTCAAGATAATCTTCACCTCCGTTCATCGAGGTTAATTCTTTAGGAGCAAATATTTCAGAAACAGGAAGGATTTCAGGTCTAGGAGATCTTCTAGGAGATACATGTACTGGAGTTCTCTTGTCTGGAGAGGGAGGGGCAGAAGATCGTTTGGACGGGGAAGGGGGCGGGGAGGGATGAGAAGGCTTCTCCGGAGAAAACAAACATTTAGCAGGGGAGGCAGGGGCACTGAGCTTATCGCAACCCTCGTCCTCTGTTAAGATATTGATGATCTCCTTACCGTGGTGTAAAGGTTGTTGAGGAGAGAGGGGGGGAGGTAAAGGCTCACAACTGTCCTCATCAAATCCCAGTATAGAACGGTTTGCAAAAAAGGACCTATAACAATGTATTTAGTTATATTGCGATGTTAATACATTTTTTTTACATATTTATATTGTTTGAGGAGCATTTTTATCACACGAGGCTAGGTCAGCCTACAAAAATCATGATTAAAAAATTACCCCAGTAAAATGATATATTTTTGAATATTTCACCTGAAGGAAATATGGATTCTAAAAATTATGCATTATAATTTATATAAATACTAAATTAATTGTCCTACTTAGCTGCGGTTTTCTTGACAACATCAGGGAGTTCAAGTTTAGCCTTGTTAATATTTCCATTTGGCTGCATTCCACGTGCTATCCGACAATCATCACAGTTCCAAACCTAAATTTTAATAGTTTATGAACAATCACAGTTCAAAACCTTAATATCAATAGTTTATGTACAATCACAGTTCAAAACCTTTATGTACAATCACAGTTCAAAACCTTAATATCAATAGTTTATGTACAATCACAGTTCAAAACCTTAATATCAATAGTTTATGTACAATCACAGTTCAAAACCTTAATATCAATAGTTTATGTACAATCACAGTTCAAAACCTACATATCAATAGTTTATGTACAATCACAGTTCAAAACTTAAATACTAAAAGTTCATGTACAATCACAGTTCCAAACCTAAATACTAATAGTTAATGTACAATCACAGTTCAAAATATAAATATCAATAGTTTATGTACAATAAAAGTTCCAAACCTAAATACTAAAAGTTTACGTACAATCACAGTTCCAAACCTAAATATCAATAGTTTATGTACAATCACAGTTCCAAACCTAAATTTTAATAATTTATGTACAAACACAGTTCAAAACCTAAATACTAATAGTTCATGTACAATCACAGTTCAAAAACTAAACAAGAACAGTTCATTTACATTGTACAATAACAGTTCCAAAGCTTAACATTAATAGTTCATATGCAATCAAAATTCCAAATTTCAACATTAATAGTTCAAATACAATCACTTTTTCAAATTTCAACATTTACATCTTGTACTATCCCAGTTCCAAACCTTTACATTAATAGTTCATATACAATCACATTTCGAAAATTAATAGTTCATGCACAATCCCAAAAGTTTTCTGTGTTGTTACAAAGTTTAAAAGTTTAATTAGAAAGTTTTATAATACACATGCCTATTGCCAATGCTCAACGTATTAACTATGAAACTGTTAATTTTTGCTTTAATCTTATTAAAAAGTAGTTTAGTTAACAGAAAAAAATATTTTAAAGGGACTGTAACCGTAATTACTAATGACATTCCATGCAACGATGGCAATGCCCGATTCCTACTGCAAATCCTTCTGCAGGAAAAGAATTATTAGAATTAAACACTTTTTTAACCTAGAAAAACGACTCTATCTTCAATTGATCAAATTAAGGTTGTAAATCGGGCATTGACATCTTTGCATGGAGGGTCACTTGAAATTACGCTTACAGTCCATTAATGCTCAAAAATCAAGCTAAAATATAAAAAATGATAATTACCTTGGGTCGTTTGTCAGGTAGCGGGTGTAGGCAAGAGTGGTGGACCCCTTGATCACAATATTCGCATATCATCAGATGTTCTAAACATTAAACATTTGTCAGATCTTAACTTGTATTTCCCTTGTTACTGTTTCCAAATTTTCGAATATCTTCCTATTTTTTAGTGGATTTTTATATTCAGGAGGAAAATTTGAAGGAGCATCTTTAAAGACAATAAACAAGTCTACGATCTAAAAACAAAGAAATAAAATAACAAAGAGCGACCATAATATTTAACAGGAAAATGTAAACCTTCTCTTTTTGAGAATGAATTTGATATTAGATGAAGAAATTATTTTACCAATTACTTTAAGGCTTTCCCCTCAGTTGTACACTTAGTGGCCAATAGTTTTTTCATTCAAAATCTTTTTTTTCCCAATAAATACATTTTTTGACTGTAAAACCCCTTAAAAAATACTGAGGTGTCAATTTTTGGACGGCAAGAAGTAGATTGACTAAATTTGGTTTTTGGCCCCTGATCCAGTTTGCTAACCAGTAACAATTTTGAGTTACCAAATAATTTTGAGTTGAGTAAGTTCTGTCTCAAAAAAACTTGTTTCCCCCCCCCCCCAAACAAAAATCCTCCTCACCTGACTTCTCGCTTTCTGAAGGTGATAGTTCACAAACTATACAGGATTTACAATCATCACAGGTCCAGCCATTCTCCTCGAAATATCTCACCAACTCGGTACTATAAAATATATGTATTATAAATAACAATAATAACTAGATAACTACAAAACGAAACAAGAATTTGTTAATTGTTGTTTTTATAACACTGTATAGGATCATAACATGAATATGGGAAAAACATGAAAGTGTGCATATTAGTTGTCGCCTTGTCTAAATACAGTTTAAACTTGACATTCATTTCATTAATGAATATACAGGGTTACCCATAATTAAGTATTTTAATATGTCCAATACTTGAATGTTTGAAATGAACGAAACTAGTGTCAAATCAGACTTTTTTCAAGATTTTGATAAATAAAACTAAATTAAAAAATGGAACAGTCGTCTTTTAAAGTCTAATCTTTTAGGGGTCACCCTGTAGAGACATAAAAAAAAATATAATCAGAAAAAAGATGTAACTTAATGATATTTCTATTTTTTTATGAAAAGTATTTTACATTTCATGAACCAAATAAACTCAAAAACTAAATTTATCTGTTATCAATTAAAATAAAGCTTTTATTGTTTTCTACCTGTAAACTCTACAGGAGGGGTGAACTGAATGTCCACACCCCCAGCAGGAAACAAGAGGTTCATGTTCTCCTTGAGGATTCCTCACTTCTGTACCAAGGCACTCGCAGCAGATAGGAACTGCCTGAGGTTTCTTAACAAATACAAAGTTCAAAACTTGACAGGTCGTTAACGGGCGTGGAGATTGTCGTGTCGATCATTAATCGGCATTATGTCAATGTCAATTGTCCTGTAGACGTCTCGATATCAAAAGTATGCCAATTAAAAATATTAAGTAAACGTGTTCTTAAAAAGAATTAAATGAACTGGCTTCCGCCTGATAAGGTTAAAACCAAAAAAAGTCGGTAAGTAATATCATTAGAAATTGATTGTTAATAACAAGTATTCGGCATTCTTTCCAGTTTCCATCAACATAGAAAAAAATATCTATTTGAAGCAGATTAAGAGGTTAGGGGGGTCTATGGTCACCAGGAGGGTTTCAGGCTCAAACGGGTGCAAAGCCTCCCCCCCCCCTAACGAGAAAAAAATGTAAACAACCCACCCTCCCACCGGACAAATTTCAGAAATTCCTATCAGAGCAGATTTTAAATAAATTAACCTCGAAAACAATGAATATTTCATATATCCCTAACAAAATTACACTTTAAGTCCCTACCAAGAAATATTTCTCACTACCCATACAGAACTCTCGAACTGCCCGCATCTGCCCTGCTGTCAGGTAAACAAGCTCAAGCTGACCGTTCCGTTGAAACGTCGTGTTCATGGGAAACGCATGTTTATCCCTGGAACCCAATCTATGAAACAGACGTGTGTATCCATCACAGTAAAACTTAGCTGGGGAGCCATCAGGAACAGAGAATTTCTTCTTAGACTTATTCTTCAGTTTAGGAGACTTCATCAGATCTGACTTCTGCGGTGATCTCATTCTAGGATTTTTACCTCGACAGACTTTGAAATCTCCCAACCTCTTAGGGTCATCCTTAGTACAGACATGGAGGTCGTATGTATCCAAATGAAATATCTTCCTACAACCTCGTTGTGTAGGGTCACATAATTTGGAGTTTTCACGGATTTCTTTACAGAATTTGATTTCCTGGAAACCATGAGATCCAATATGTTTGTAAAGGTTGCCTCTGACAGGACAGGAATAAGGGCAGAAGTTACATTGATGCAATTCTCCAGGTATATCATACCCTAGGCAAACCTCCTTCCCGGACTTGAGGAGCTTATCTACTAGATCAGCTTCAGTTTCCTCGTCATTTTCATCATTATCTTCTTGGTCCGTATCCGAATCTGAATCTTCTTCATCCTTCTCTGTGTCAGAAACATGATTTGAAACAACAGGTTTAACTCCTTCCCTGAATAATGGGAAATTACCAATAGGAATTGGGGCATCATTACTGCACTTATGCTTATCAAAGGTTTCCGGAGTAAAAATCTTTCTGCAACCAGGACCAGGACCTTCGGTTCTGGAGGAGCAGATCTTATACTCCAAACCATGCAGACTGAGATGCTTATAAAGGTTCCCTCTGCTAGGACAGGTAAACCTACACATGTTGCAGTAGGAAATATCAGATTCAGAACCAATACACACAGCTTCACCTTCAGCTGTCAGCTGGTTTACACGGCTCAAACAACCTTGTTTATCAGGATCCGTTGATGAATATTTGTTTTCTAATCTCTGATCAGGTACTGAACGGGGACGAGTCTTCTCCAATTTGACAACTTCGTTTTTCTTTCTCTCCTGCAGTTTTAATACTCTACGTCGGTTATTATCGAACCAGTATCTTAGCTTAGTAAACGGAACACCGAGCTTCTCTTCAAGAATTAACTTCTGTGGTACACTTGGATGCCAAGTTAATGCAAAAACTTTCATAAGTTCTCCGATCTGAGAAGGATGATATCCTTTGTCTAGTTTAACTCGCTCATGCACTTTCAGGTACGGAATATCTCTTATCACGGAATCCACAATATCAGAATTACTTTCACATGATGATTCAGAGAGTTCTGATGCAGCATCATAACTTTCAATTTGATAGGGTTTTTCACTTTTAATAATTGGTACTTTTTCCTTCGCTATTTCCGTATCAGAGTTATTAGATGATCGTCGGATCATTCCAACATCGGATAGATTGGATGATCGTCTGATCTGAATAGAAGATCGCTGTATAGTTTCTGTAGCTATAGATGAACGCCGAGTTATCAATTTATCTGAACTTTCACAACTTCCAGAGCTCCCAGTCTCGGAATCCAATGATGTTCTTCTAGATCCCACCTTAGCCGTAGCTGGTTTTAACAGTTGCTGCATTAGCTTCAAAACTGAGGGCATTGGCAGATTGTGATGCTTGAGATAATGTTTCTTCAACTCAAGAACATCAAAAGTTATAAAACTGCATTGAACACACTGAAACTTCCTACTCTTCTTGTGTATTAGCATATGACGGGGTATATTCCTTCCCAACATTTCTCTTCCACATACTTCACACTCGACTAGTGGTTCTCTCCAGACAGAAGGTCTATAACCAAATAAATATAAATAAACAGAAATTCGGAACTTGCTCAACATTTGTATTTGTCGCTGAAAAGTACATATTCGAACTCACTAATGAGAACCGACATTAAAACTCACATTAAGAACAGACGTTGAGAACGCAGATTGGAAACACAATGTTAGGGCGCACACTGAGATCGCACTAATAAAAATCCACATTTGAGGAAGCACAATGTTTGAATATTAGGATTTGTAAGATAGCCAACCGTTTGTTAATTAACAGAAAATAAAATTGATGAAAAATAAGCATGAATTATAAACAAATATTAAATTTGGTTTTTCCTGTTCGCGAGTCCATCCTCTGAGCTGGATTGTTCAGAGTTACCAGCGCTATCAAGATAAACAGGAACATGTTTACTAGGAGAAGTATATCGGGGAAGGTTTATCGAAACTCTGCGTAGTTTTTGAGCCATTTCTTCTGAGTTTCCACTAGTGAGCTGTAAACTTGATTCACAAACTTCTGTTTAGGAACATTATTAGCATCAATTAAAAAATCAAATCTTGATCTCAATTTTTCACTTAGAAAATGTTTTTTCTTTTGAATGGTTCTAAAAAAAGAATTGCCAGCAAATAATTAAAAATAAATTAAACTTAAACTTTTAATATTTCAAGGGATAAAACATGTAAAACTCGTTTTTAATGCTAAATATTTTGCCTGTCAATTTTAGATCTACTGATTGCACTTCTGTTTTTGGTATAATTTCTTCATCAACTTTTATATCCTCAGTATTCTTTTTACTTCCACCTTTCTTCTTCTTCTTTCTGGTTTTAAACTTCCACCTTTCTGGTTTTAGGTGAATGTCTTTTGGAGAACTAGTAATTCTATCAGTCTTATCTTCAACATTAAACTCTTCAAAGGTTAAAGCTCTGGCAGTGCCTCCTTGGCGCACTGTGGCATTAAAATCTCGAGTGGGGTTAGCTTCGGTCAGAACTGGGACGGAGTCAGCGTGTGAATTATCTTCATCAATTTCATTTAACGAGGTTGATTTTAATTGTTTGGAAGGTGAACCTGGAGGTCGGATATTTATAGTGATTTCATCGTCAACATGAATACTTTCGTTACTTGTGTCATGCAAGTCATCCTCGTTGAATTCATTAAATACCCCATCCTTAGTTCCATTGGGTTCATTGGTTCCGTTCTTCACTAAACCATCAACCTCTCCGTCATGTTCAGTTTTACCGTTCAGATTTCCCATCTCTAACTCATTGTTTCTTAACCAAACCATACTGCACTATCACAATAACAAAACAAAAAAAGGAAGTTTGTATACTATAGTTCATGCCCGTTTGCCCGTCTGGGCAGGTAATAAAGGTGAAAACGTTCTACATTATTTATAATTCTGAAATAGTTGGATTAATGCAATATTGTATCCAGAAAAAAGACAGAAATAGAATATATGGAAGAAAGTAAATTTCTGCATCACATAGTTATATAATAAATATGCCTAATCTTAACTTAATCATATTTTTTAATCTGTACCTTACAAAGATACACCAACTAATAAATAATCACCAGATATAAAATATCTCTGTAGATAATATGTATTAACCAAGTTGAACCCGACTGAAAACTTGACAGTTGGCAGCTAACACAGAATGATACCAGGTAACCGAAGTGAGGTATGCAAGGAAAAGTGGTGGTTTAAAAAAGATCAGGTTAATCAATTTTTCAATCACTACAACTTGAGAAGTCTAGTTGATAAACAATGTTTAAAAATGAGATTTGTGAATAAGTCAAATGAAATTTTGTACTGTATTTGTACGTGATTTGTTTATATAAAAATTCTTTACATCAATTTTTAAAATCCAATACCCTTTTCTTGTTACCTTTCAAAAACCCAGCACGAGAAAGATGAAGATTTAAACCCGCCTTTTAAAAATTCATTATCAAGTATTGTTTTGAAGAAAAATTATATACTTTTTAAGACTAAAATACATTTAGTAACTCTAACTCTATTAAGCACAGAACCCCACCCCCATTTATATGCTAGGTAGAACCCCACCCCCCCCTTTATATGCTAGGTAGTAGGTATGTCGGGGTAAGAGGTAACATCTGCTAGAACGAAGGAGAGTATAGATGTATATATACCCTCAGGTATAAATCTTATATCCTCATATATTTAACCCAACTATTGAATAGTGAACAGTATTAGGTCATCGGTGCACTGTTTTTCAATACCAGTTTACCAGACAAACTTTTGGAAAATTAAGTTATGTATAGTTGATGGATACAAAAAATCACCCCCAAAGGAAGGATGAAACCATAATAACTTTACCAAAATTACGATTTTGCACATCCGTTCTAGAAAATTGCAAGATATAATTTTCTAGGAAAAAAAGAACGTTAGCGGTTATGTATTAGTTAACTCTTACTCACTACACAAACCTTGGTGAAATATAAACCCCTGAACCCCCCCCCCC